AGATTAACATGTTCTTATGCACAGTAGAATTGTAAATGGGCTTATTCATCAATGTCATGCTCATAAGTTTGCCTGAACTGCAACGGAGAACTGTTGCTTTTTCTTTCCTAATCCTTACTATCATCATTTTTACCTCTCGTTCTTTTGTATGTTTGTCACTCTTTTGTGACCCGCTATTTCCGGCGTGCCTTGATAGTCGAAGCAGACTTTGTACTGTTGAAGCTAGAGAGGTGAGCAGAGTAAGCCTGATTCCCTGTATGGACTTTTCTGTTGACATCCACCCCTTGGCGCTCATATGACCTTATGCAGTTGCTAGCGCCGTAAAACTCTACTTAAACTAAAAACTGACTGGTAGGGCTGAAGCAGCTGTCCATCTACACAATTTAGATCATTTAGGAGGCAGGCTTCGACCCTGCCTGTCTGGAAAAACCTGAGCTGTGAGGGATGCATCGTCCCATCGGAAAGACTTGACAATTCTGAATGGTCCAAGTTATGTCAATTGGGGCATGAAACATCTACAAGTAATAATTTACAATTACCATCGCAAGTCCATCTTTGAAACCACTAGACCAGAACTCTTCTTTTGAGTGAAAGTGAGTGAATGAAGATGTCTCGATAACAAACATTTAGACTAGAGCTCCACTTTTGAGCGAAAGTGAATCGATGAATGAAGGTGTCCTGTAACAAACATTTTGACAAGAAATCCTCTTTTGGGTGCAAGTGAATGATTGAATGAAGATGTTTTGGTAACAAACATTTAGACATTTAGACAACAACTCCTGTTTTGAGTGAAAGTGAATGAATGATGATGTCTTGATAACAAACATTGGAAAGTGATTGAATGACGATTTTTTTTTTTTAACCAACATTGGAAAGTGAATGAATGACGATTTTTTTTTGTAACCAACATTGGAAATTGAAAGAATGACGATTTTTTTAAAAACAAGCATTGCAAAATGAATGAATGACGATATTTTTTGTAACAAACATTGGAAAGTGAATGAATGACGATGTCTTGGTAACCAACATTGGAAAGTGAATGAACGACAGATTTTTTTTTTGGTAACAAACATTGGAAAGTGAAAGAATAATGATTTTTTTAAAAACAAGCATTGCAAAATGAATGAATGACAATATTTTTTGTAACAAACATTGGAAAGTGAATGAATGACGATGTCTTGGTAACCGACATTGGAAAGTGAATGAACGATGGATTTTTTTTTTTAACAAACATTGGAAAGTGAAAGAATGACGATTCTTTTAAAAACAAGCATTGCAAAGTGAATGAATGACAACATTTTTTGTAACAAGCATTGCAAAGTGAATGAATGACAATATTTTTTGTAACAAACATTGGAAAGTGAATGAATGACGACGTGTTGGTAACAATTAACAAGCGGTGACCGGTTCCCTTTCCCCAGCGGCCGTACATGGCAGTGGGCACCCTCAGAGACCAGGTGATCTACCCAGACAACCACACGGAGCAGCTCAAGAAGGGGGTCAAGGATAAGGAGCTGCAGGAAATCCTCTCCAAGGTCAGTTGGGCTGCTGCTACCTCAGCTCGCTTGTCGGGGGGGGGTGAGCATGGATTGAAAGAAAAGGTGTGTGGAAGGGGAGGGGGGGTTTATGGGGGAGATGAGCATGGGTTCATGGGTTGGAAGATGAATGTGTGGTGGTTGTGAGGTTGGTGGTGGTTGGGTGGTGGTGGTTGTGTGGTGGTTGTGTGGTGGTAGGGTGGTGGTTGTGTGGTGGTTGTGGTGGGTGTTGAGGTGGTGGTGATGGTGGTTGTTGTGATGATTGTTGTTTTTGTGGTGGTGGTGGTGGTGGTGTGGGTGCTGGTGGTGGTGGTGGTGTGGGTGGTGGTGTGGGTAGTGGTGGATGTGTGGTGGTAGGGTGGTGGTTGTTGTTGTTGTGGTTGTGTGGTGGTGGTGGTTGTGTGGTGGCGGTAGTGTGGGTGTTACAGTGTGACGTAGTCAAAGAGTTTCCAGTACCTGAGACTTTGGCGGCGAAGTCGAGCTCTTTCTTGTACTCGGCGCTTGTGATACTTCCAGAACAGTCCAGTATGAACAACATGTCTAGTTTGGCGGCACAGGACACAGGTTTGACTGGGGGGGAGA